CCGTTCAGAGAGCTTAGAGAGCTCAGAAAGCTCTCAGCAGGACTGGCTGGGGGGTGGGGACAGCAGTCAGGGAGGGCTCCCCGGGGCGTTGATGCCAAAATAAAACTTCAGGACTGAGTTAGCACTTCACAAAGGAACGGAGAACCGAGGAAAGGCAGTCTAGGCGAGGGACCAGTGTGTGCATACGGCAGTGGACAAGGGACGGGGGAAGCTGTGTTCACCCCCGCCCGGCCCCGGCAGGGGGTGGGGGGGCAGGTGCCTGGCCCAGATGGGCCCCACACCAGAGGACAGGATTTCCTGATAACAAAGCAAGGAAACCAGGTAAGGTTTTAGAGAGACCAGCTCGGCTGCCTTTCAACGGCGTGACTCCTCTCTGCTGGTTTTCCACGTCTGCCGGGTCTGTGCGTGTGCAGGCGGGGTTCCCTCCCAGTGGCCGTGAGCCCTGCCCGTCCCTGCAGCAGCTCAGCCACCCCCCACCCATGCTGCTTGGACCCGCTCCTGGCACCGGTCCGCACGGAGATCACTCTGCACCTCAGCCCGGCGCGTTCCCACTGCTTGCAGGCGTGCAGTTTTGACGGGCTGGTTTATACCATCTTGTCTTCTTTGAAAAGGCACAGAAAGCAAGCCGCCGATGTCTTGCCTCAAAATGCTTCTAACAGGCCGCCTAACGGGCGGGCGGGCCTTGCCAGCAGGGAAGAGGAGGGCCAGTCGCTGCGCAGAGGCCTCTCCGGCGTCCTCCTGACGGAGGGCTGGAAAAGAACGGACCAGAGCCGTCCTGCGTCCCGGCTTGCCTGCACACCGTGAGCGCACGCGAGGGAAGCACACGCTTACTTATGCCCCAGTTCAATGTGAGTGCAACACCAGGAAAGTCGCTGTGTGTCACCAAAGCCCTAACTCAGCCCGCAGAGCCTGTGAACTCGCTCCTGTCCCCCGACAGCCCCGCCGGGCCTGCGACTGGTGGTCACGTGCTCACACCTCCCTCCCGGTCAGTTTCCTCTCGCCGTGTCTCAGGTGACCGATTCGGAGCGCAGGTTCACGCACCCGCGTTCTGGGCACCCGGAGCGCCTGGGGAGGAGGGCGCGGGCTCAGATCCTCCTCGTCCCCACGCCGGCGACTCACCCAGGCCCACCCGGTCGCGCTCCAGGTACCTGAGCTCCTAAGCTGGGGAAACTGAGGCAGCACAGAACCTGCGTCACGGGCACCACCCGGTGGGTGAGCAGAGCCTCACCCCGGAGGCTCCACAGGGCTGTCCTGAGAGCTCGCTGAGCCGGGTCACGGGCACTAACTGAGCCCCCTCTGCAAGGCTCAAGTCTCCGCGTAAGTGGCCTCCTGTACCGTGGAGGTCCCGCCGCAAAGTCTCCTGTGCGGGACGGGAGTAGGCCAGGGCAGTACCTGAAAGCAGAGGCATTGAGGACCGGTGCTCTCCTGCCTCAGGCAGCCTACCTGCAGCCCCGCTGTGCTGTCCCCGTCTGTCCCCCTCCGTCACCCAGGCCTGGCGATCACCCCTGCTGCTCTGGACACTAGGCCACCAGTGCCACTGTGCACCTGCTCTCGCAGCAGGGCCTCACGGTTGTCTGCAGAGTGACCCCTGCGGAGGCGGCACGTTCAGGGCCCACGGGCCGCCAGGCCAGCGCCAGACACCCCCCCCCCCCCCCCCCCCCCGCCCCGTCAGGGCCTCCAGGTCTGTGAGTCGCTTGGCCTTGTCCAGCTGCTCGTGCCCCAGGCAGGGGACAGACAGCCCTTGGACACTCCTGTGCTGAGCTGGCAGTCCAGCCAAAGAACCTCCTGACCCAGCACAGGGGGGCCCTCGGCTCGAGGGCGACCCCCCCACGTGACCAGGAGCGGCCGGGGCACCTCCTGGGCCTGGAAATGGCAAGTCCAGGAAAGCACCTTCGTGAAAAATAATTATTGAAGCCCAGAGGTGGTCTTGGAAGTAAATGGCTTTTCTTTTCTACCTGAGAGCATTTGTAGTAAATGACTGTCACCCAGCTGAGGACACACAGGCCTCTGTAGGGGATGCAGGGAGACAGAGGGCTCCGGAAACTAAGTCCCTAGAAATGCTCAGACACCTGCACGCCCGGTGGCCTCTCGCTCCATCCTCCACAAGCGCTAGTCAGGCCTCCCCTGCCCTGCCAGGGGTGGCTACCGTATTACTGCGCCCTGAGAGGCTGGCCCGAGGTCACCCCGTGAGCCCGCAGAGAGGCCTGGATGGCAAAGCCGTGGCACCAAGTCCAGAAATGGAATGCCAGCTTTGACCAAGAAACCCTGCCCTTGTGGACCTCGGCCTCGTTCTCCTCTACGGGTCCCAGAGGTGACCCCTCCACGCTGGAGCGTCGAGCACAGCCTTGTTCCCTCCGAAGGGTTCCAGCCGCACAGCCAGCCTCGTGCAGGGGTGCCCCCTCAGCCTCCGGGTCCTCTCAGGTTTTTCTGGACGAACAGGCCATTTGTGACCTCTCGCCCCTCTGGGATGCGCAGCCAAGCCACCGAAGGGTTCGCGGTAATGGTCCGAGTCGGCTGAGGGCTCACCCCGGGCGGGGGGCTTCATGCAGCCATCTCTCAGGCCAGTCCCGGCGCCTGCTTTCACCAGGCGGCTTCCTCCGCCCTCCCCCACCTCGGTCACCTGTCGACTGGCCCCACAGGCCTGGATCCGTGCTGCCCCGAAGCCGTTTGAAGAGGCCTGGGAAGGGGAGTGGCCACTGGAGAGGCCAGCCCAGTCCTTATGGTGCGGAGGCTTTCTTCTGAGTGTGATTAGAGAACGAAACACACAGAAAGCTCTCGGAGAGAGAGAGGGTACGTGAGTCACCTTTACAGGAAAAGCCAGAATGAACTCATAACCTGGTCTTTCTTGGACAGCCGCAAGCAGGTGCGTGGTCGCCGGCCTGGAGAGCGCCTCCCTTTTGCCGCCCGGCCCAGATACTGGCGCACAGCACTCCTGCAGCCCCGCCCTGCGCTGGCCTGTCACCACCGAGGCCCGCTTCTGGACCAGCAGAGGGTGGGGGCCCGGGGGTCCTGCTGTGCCCATTCCTGCCAACGTGCCAGGGGCGCCTGGCTTTGTGCACCCAGGCCGGCTGGCGGTCTGGGCTCACGACACCGCAGAGAAGCGCAGACCCATCTCGGCGGGGGTCTTGAGGATGCATGGAGATCCGGGGTGGGATGGGGAGGGGGGCTCTCGGAAGATGTTCGCAGCTTTTCGTGTGCTTCTCGGCTCCGGTGGCGTGAGGTCGGGAAGGGGCTCCGACCTGGAACACCCACCCTGGGAGGAGGGGAGAGGTTCGGGGACAGTCCCAGCGCTCAGCTGCAGTGAAACGGTGGGCTGGCAGGAGCGGGGGCTCACGGGGGGCCCTGGGTGCCGGTCCGTGGGCACAGCCATCGCTGTGGGTGCAGACAGGGCACCTGGATGGACATGATGGGGTGTCAGTCCTGAAGGAATCTTGGAAGAGGCTTTGGGAGGCTAGAGGCAGGGCCAGCAGAGGCAGAGTGGCACCGAGGGAGTGGGGGCGGGAAGGGCAGAGCAGGCCAGGTGTCTCTGCCCATGGACCCTTCCGGAAAGGGCTCTAAAGCGTGTGGAAAAGGAGGGCAGGCACAAGGGGCCAGGGAGGCAGTGGGGAGCTC